GGGGGACAGGGGGGGTGGATGGAAGGGTGGTGGCAGTGTTTGATGGCTCATAAAATCTGGAATAATTGAACAGAGGCTCCACTGTAAACCCGTGGCCTTGTGCAGTACAACAGGCTTCTCCGTTTTTTTTGACAAATGGCTCCGTATTGATCATTTATTACAGGTGCAGGAACTCATTTATTCTCAGATCCCATTTCACTGAACAGCGGGTGTGTGTCACTGTAGCGAAAGCAGGAGGAGGAGGAAGGAGGAGGGGGGGGCAGGCTGTTCGCTCTCTTTTTTTTTTAGCCACTTGCAACACCTTTAAATCTTGTGTCTGATTACGGTGTTGTGTGTGTGTGTGTGTGTGAGTAACCAACTCTGCCCGAGGGGGAACAGGAAGGCAGTTGTCTTAGTTTACTCTCTGTGTTTACCTCAGCCGGTTTTGATGGCAGTGTTGCGTATAAGCCTCTACAGTGGATTCTCAGGCGTCCACTGTAGAGGCTTATATGCAACACTGCCATCAACAACCTATTCTTGTCATAGAAAATGACATTTTAATAGCCGTCCACTGTAGTGACCGTCATGCATGAAATGTTTACCACTGCTGCTGCTCTTAAATGTCGCCATTTTTCCAACCAAAATATCTTGTGCATTTTTTTTTTAATTTCCACTCCGGACCTCGGGGGAATGCGTTCGACCCTGTCCCCGCAGTGGTCCGTCCCCTCCTTTGATAGAGCAGACGTGATAAAAGCCCTCTTTATGTCTGTTAAACCGGATGTGGAGAGAGAGCCATTATGAATATTTATAAGAAACTTCTCTAAATATCCACTGCATAATTGGACGTCGGTCGATGAATAATATGTTTTGTGACTCTTGTTTCTCTCGCTCCCTCTTTGGTGGAGGAGGAAAAAGTGAGTGAGAGGGAAACGTGTGTGCATGTTTTTATGTCAATACAGAAAGGAGTAAAAGTAAATAAAGGCTTGTTTTTCTTTTTACCCCTACAACTATTAATATGTCCTATCTTACTCCTAAAACTATTAATATGTCCGTTTTTTTTTTTGGTTGTTGTTGTTTTCAAACAGGTCCCAGGATCCAAATGTCAACCCCCCTGGACTCTGCCCTGGTCGTGGACCAGCAGTGTGTGACGGACAGGCCAGTGGAGCCTGTGGTGGCTCTCTACTGTGTGGCTTCAAATTGGTCCTGCCTGAGCTCTGCATGGATCAACCAGTGAAGTGTCCCGCTATGGTCTGATGTCTTAGCATGGATGGAGTCCGTCAGAGGACCGGCCGCCGCTAATGAGACCATCACTGTTGACCTGAGGAGTGGAATTTGCAGGATTACTCTTACGACTACTTTCCCAGCAAACTGCTTCGTTATTTGACTCTTCAAGTTGGACTTTTTTTTTTGAGCCTAGGTCTCGGTGGATATTTATATCATCGCCTTCTGGGTTCATTACTTTTTTTGCCCTCAGCCAGTTTATTTTATTATTGCTTTCTATTTTTTTTTTTTTTTTTTTCTCTTCACATCTTGCTTTTCCACTATGGAGTTTTTGGCCGGACCCTGGAATAAAGATTGGGCTTCTTTTTTGCAGTTTTGGTTGACTGTCATCCTAAGCCTCCAAATGCAATTCAGCTCGAGTGCATCCTGCCCGACAGAGTGTCGTTGTGACAAAACGTTTGTGTACTGCAATGAACGCAGCTTGACATCAGTGCCTCTGGGGGTAGAGGAGGGCTACAAGGTCCTCTATCTGCACAACAACCAGATCAACAGTGCCGGCTTCCCCATAGAACTTCATCATGTAGCCTCCGTGGAGACTGTGTATTTATATGGCAACCAGCTCGACGAGTTCCCAATCAATCTACCCAAAAACACCCGGGTCTTACATCTTCAGGAGAACAATATCCAAACAATCTCAAGGGCCGCCCTGGCCCAGCTGGCTAAGTTAGAGGAGCTGCACCTTGACGATAACTCCATTTCGACTGTAGGGGTGGAAGAAGGGGCCTTCAGGGAGGCGGTGAGCCTCAAACTTCTTTTTCTTACTAAGAACCACTTGAGCAGCGTTCCGATCGGTCTCCCGGAGGACCTGAAAGAGCTGCGGTTGGACGAGAACCGCATTGCCATTATCGCAGAAGAGGCCTTCCAGAATGTGACTCGCCTGCAGCGCCTCCTGTTGGATGGGAACCTCTTGACAGACGAGGGCATAGCACCGGGGACTTTTCAGGATCTGGCCAACCTCCGCGAGTTGGCCCTGGCCCGCAACTCGCTCACCTTCCCACCGCCCCTCTTACCCAGCCAGTCCTTGGCCAAACTCAGCCTGCAAGAGAACCAGATTGACCAGATACCTGTGGCGGCCTTCGCTGACCTCAACAGGCTCGAAAAACTGGATATATCCAGCAACCAGCTTCAGACGCTAACCCAGGGCGTGTTTGATAGCCTGTCGAGCTTGCGGCATCTAATGGTGCGCAATAACCCCTGGCGGTGTGACTGTGCGGTGAAATGGGTGGTGGTCTGGCTCAAATCTTTGTCCTCCGAAACCAACGCCCGGGGCTTTGTGTGCCAGAGTCCGGAGAAGGTGCGCGGCATGGCAATCAGAGAGCTGACGTTGGATATAATCGAATGTCCGGTTGACGTCGATCAACCACCTTGGCCAACCTTGCGCTCGACGCCCCCTCCGCCCACCACCACCACCACCTCCGCTTCCCCTATCACCACCAAAATCTCCAACGCCATCACTACGCCCACCCCTTACCTCCCCGACACGCCCTCTCCTCCCTTACCCCCCATCAATAATAATCCCCCCGGGCCTCTGCCTCCGTATCAGGACCCCCTTCAGATCTCCTTCAGCTTTGTCAACGCAACCAACATTGACGTGAGCTGGGATTCCTATTTCACTGTCACGGCCTACAAGGTGACCTGGGTCAAAAGGGGCCAAACCCAAATAAACGAAGGAATGCGGGAGCGCACGGTGAGCGGGGGGAGGAGGCACGTTAGCCTCACTAACCTGGAGCCCAGGTCCGTGTATCGGATCTGCGTACACGTGCTGGACACCCTAAACTCCTACAGGCCCGGAGAGGATACTATATGCTCCGAGGTCAAGACCAAGGCGGCTTCATCGACAAAGACTCCTGGCAGAGACCAAGATCCTCAGGAGAGCATCAACTCCACTCTGCTAATGGCCGGGATCATAGGTGGAGCAGTGCTTATCATCCTGGTAACACTGCTCAGTCTGTTCTGCTGGCATATGCACAGGAAGAGCCGGTCGTCTTCCAGCAAGTGGAAATACAACCGAGGCAGGAGAAAAGACGACTACTGTGAGGCTGGAACCAAGAAGGATAATTCTATTCTTGAGATGACTGAGACCAGTTTTCAGATAGTGGCACTGAACAATGAGCAGCTTCTCAAGGGAGATTTCCGTATCCAGCCCATCTACACACCCAACGGGGGCATTGGATTTAGAGATTGTCACCTCAGTAACAACAGTATAGCCTACTGTAAGAGCAGCAACGTTCCCAGTACGGAATTCTGCCAAACGTGATGCCGTAGCAAACATTCATCAGCCACATTCACACACACACACACACACGTAAAACGTACAACACACTGTCTGTGTAGACAACAACAACAACAACAACAACAACAAAAAAAAACCAACATAAAAAAGTTAGTGAATTATACCTGTACTATATATATATATATATTTCCAAGTTCTGTCTAAAATGTAATTTATACTGTGGATTATAATGTGGGATTATCTGCTATCTTTTTTATCCTTAGACGAAAGGTAAAAGTGTTTCTTTTTTTTTTTTTTTTCTTTTCTTTTTTTTATACTCAGCAGGGTTTTCAAAAGTTGTTTTAAACGGTCAGTACTGTACACGAACGTGGATTTGTACAATCACGGCACCCTGGGTGTAGCTCCTGACAGACGCTGTCAGCCTCGGATACGTCACGGAGCTCAGAGGGCTGGGATCCTTTGCTAACCACAGAAGCAAAATATGGCCTTTTTTTGCGCTTTGGCAAACTGAAAACACACACACACACACACACTCACTCACCAGTACAACAGAACAGTAGTAAAGACAACACAGCACAGGGGGGGAAATCCAAACATGGCTGATTAGAGTGCTGTGGAAATAAAGCACTAGTTCATAGGTGGCACGTTGTAAAAAAAAAAAAAAAAAAAGAGAGAGAGAGAGAGAGAATTGAAGTGCACTTAAGTTTATAAATGGAGGCAGAGCAGGAAATGAGTGGTGCTGCTGATCATGTTAGAAAACTGTGCCTGCTTGTGCCAGGGAGAATGTGTTAGTGCCGTTAAAAAAAAAAAAAAAAAAAAGTCTGGACGTGGATTTCCCAAAAGGAACTTCTCTCCCTCTGAAGGCATCTTTGTTCTTGTACTTTACAGCAGAACAAAGGTGGGCTTAGTCAAAGGACACTGCAAATGGAGGCATATTTCATTTTTTTTTTTTTAGCACATTTCTTCCTTCCGCTGTGAAGACGAGTGATTTTTGAACACGAGCTCAAAGAGCGACACGTTGTTTGCTGTCTCTAATTGGGTGCACCGACGTTTGCTAACCACTGTTTTGGTTCTGATTTCTGATTTTTTTTTTTGCCCCCTGTCTGCCACCAGGGGGCGTGGAGGGCAAGACAGACAAGATGACTTCACCCCTCGTGATTCCCCTTGAGTCCATTACCCAGACGACATTAGACGTGGTCACACTAATGTTTGGGACATTACTGCTCATCAAGCTTCCTAATGATGTGGAATCATTTAAAACTAACAATCTTCTCTGTTTACTGGCTGCGTAATACAGATTTATATCACTGTTGAGCATCACGGGGTGGGGGCACGCGGGGGGCGTGCATTTTCATTATTGTTTATGTGTGTGAGATGGCTTTTAGGGAGAAGGAAAACACACGATGCTTATTAAACACCCACTCATTTTAGCTTTGTCTCAGCATTCATTCGGCAGTTTTTTTTTTTTTTTTTTTTTTGATGATGAATTGGAAAATTAACAATGAGAACGCACTCCGCCCGGGACGCCCCGCCGTGCACAGTCATGACCGAGAAGCGTCTCGTTATTAATCTTTTTTTTTTCCGTCGACTTAATGCTAAGGAACAGAACACCTGAACGTCGGAAAAAAAAAATCTTTGTTCGATTCCCCCCGCTGCTCTTTCTGGGACCGTCTGCCTCTGACCGTCTCGGCTCCCCTTGATCCCTGCGTGGGCTCAATTAAAACAGTTTCCCCGTTCTTGGGTTCATGGTCTGCGGTAGCAGCTCTTTGCAAGTTGAGGTTGCCCTTGAGAGGTCTTCATTATACACTTCTTAGGAAGACTTTATTTGATTTGACAACATTTTTTTTTTTTTTTTCCCAAAAGGGCCAATTTGAAAGGATTCCCACCGCTGACCTCTTCGCTAACGCAGTCGACCCCACCCTGTCTCTCATAATCTTCGACCAAAAAAGGGAGAAAAATATGCAGGCTTTTTTTTTTCTTTTTTTTTTCCTTTTCACTTGGCGGCACAACGCTCCTGCTGGGAGACTCAGAGTGTGTGTTAACTCTTTGTGAGAAGAGTGGATGGTAGAGAATGACACAAACGAGGCCAAAATATGCCGAGTAAGGGCTTTTTAGACGACCGGTAAGTTGATGTGACGCGCACGTCCCTTACATTTATATCTGCGACGAAACCTGTCGATATTTGAAACCTTTTTTAAAACACAGTGAATAAATGAAATGTGTTTTTTTTGCAAACCATTGCAAATGGTTTCAGTTGAGTCCTTTTTGTGCCAAGGTACAGAGTACTGAATACCTCAGTCATGTGGTTTTATGCTAACATTGGGACGACTTGTTCTTTTCTCGCCTTGAAACCAGATTGTGTCAGCTTCATACGTTTGTGTTCGATCGAGGTGTGTTCGCACGTGAGCTGAGAAATGTTGTTGGACGGACGTCTCCGTTTCAGACACAGTTACAGATGTGCTTCAGTTGCTTTTGGCCAAAAAAAAAAAAAAACCCAAAAATTTGGTGATTTTTCTCCTTGTTCTCTTAATTGCATTTTTATTGATTCGCTGAATCAGAACTCTTGCTTGGATCACTAATAACTGGTTTGGCTCGAACATGTGTTTTTTCTTTCTTTCTTTCTTTCGTTGTTGAGCGACCAGGTTGTTTTTGTAACCGAGATTCTTCTGTGGTTATCAAAGCATCCCCATTTTTGATTTCTTGATTCAAACGAAAACAGATCTTATCCAGACGTCAGCACACACCCAGTACCCAGAACCACCAGGCTGCAGCTGACCTTACACTTTGATCGCTCCTGCTCTATAATCATCATTAGCCCCCCCCGCCATGTCCTGACAGTCCACCAGCTGACCACGACCCCACAAAGAAAACATATTTATATAAGATATTGATTGATTGCTTTCATCGATGATTTTTTATTTTATTTTTTTTTTATTTTTGTTGTTGTTGAAGATAAAAAAAAGCTTAATATCAGAACAACACAACACAAAGTATATCCCCATTCTTCTGGGAATGTGTAACGGGAGATATTTGCCTTACTTTTTACGCGGGGCTGAATGATTTGCTAGAGCATGTTTGATGACGATGATGATGAGTTGTGGGAGGAGAGAATTACGAGAGACGAAAAAAGAAAAAATCAAAGACACAACGGCAGCACAGAAAGCACATTTCCTCGAACAGATTGCAGTTCCCGAGGCCACGATAACAGTATTAACAGGGAGAGAGAGAGAGAGAACAACACCAGGCGTGACGTGCGGTAGCTAACGAGAGACTGTCGGTCCGTGGTGCCGGTCCCAGAGCGGCGCCCGGATAATGATTCAACCACGACTGGGAAGGTGCTTCGGCGGTTCCTCGGTACGAGCATTACTCTTAATCTCCGAGCTGCTTGATGAAAGAAAGCAGCTGCCGTGCCATGACCAATGGAATTAAATGAAATGTATTAGAGTCTGCTGGCTTCAGTTTATTACCATTTCAGGGTGCCGAGAAGTAATTTCCCTTAAAGCTCATTGATTCACATTGGAATAATTACGTTTAATCACCGAGAGGTTGGTCGGCACAGACCAGACACTTACGAGAACACAACTAGAGTCATCGTCTCTCAAAAAAAACAAAAAAACCTTCACTGCAAATACCTGTTAGAGAGTGACATTCATTCAAGGATTTTTGCATGGACTGTATTTAGCTTCGTAGCCTTTCATTATGTCATACTAGGTTCTGGACTATAATTTTTTTTTTTTTTAAACCAATCACCCAGTGGTGGTTGACATTCAGTACAGCAGTGTTCTCTCCTGGTTTTTAGAGAACCCAGGCTGGGGATTGACAGTGCATGTCAGAGACGTTGGCGTCCTCTCGTCGAGGTGATCACAGTGTTATCGTTAGCCATCCACACACCGCGAGACATTCTCTTAGGAACCAAAGTTTAAAAAACGTTTTTTTTTTTGTTTTTTTTTGTTCTCATGACAAGATATCGATGTTGTTCCATGTATGTGCCTTGAGGTTGAACTTACAATGTAAAGTCCTTGAAACCTTTAAATGTTTTTGCACAAACTGTAAATACTTAAGTGAAGCTTTTTGAAAATAAAAGAGCCATTGGATTTACGTGCGCACTCATTTTTTTTTTTTTTTAAATTTGACAAACATCCTGTTGATGCCGAAATGAAAGCTTATACTCTTGTTTATTTGGCTGCGTTTTATAGCATTATATTTTATGCTGCTGCAGGAGTGAGACACTGGTTATTCTGGGTCACAGTTTTTTTTTGGGAGGAGGGGGGCGCTGCACCGCACCATTCCAAATGATCCTCTTATTTATACACAGGAACTCTTTGCGTGGCCACCGCAGCTTAGCCTTTAGCTGGGAAAATCCGAAATTCCCTTTCATTCCGTATGGAAGGCCCAACTGGATCGTTTCTTTAAATCCCTGTGTTCCGCCAACGTCCAACTTTTTTTTTTTTTACTTCCCCGCGACCACATCCCGATGTTGCTCTTGCAACTTCCAGCCGTCTCCAGAAACCCACAGTAGCCCGGTCTTAATTCACTATGACAATTAACCGCACGGCTGAAACACTCCGGGGAGAGACGCTCTCTTCTTTTTTAAGCGTGTAGTTCTCCCAAGAATCCACAAATGTCAAAATGTGATTTGTTGTTGCACAATCGCTGGCTTTTTTAGATAGAGGCCAATTGGGTGAGGTGAAGTGTTATTGGCTCTACTCCCACAGTTGTGTAACCAGCACGGAGAAAAGAAAGAAACGTGGAATATCACCCCAAATACATCTATCAGAAAGAAAAAAAATTTTTTTTTTTTTTTTACTGCCCAGTGTTTTACCAAAATCTATTGTACCACTAAGAGCGGCAAATGGTTTACAAAGCCAATAAAGAAGCTGGTGCTGGGTTTAAATTCTTGGAAGAAATGTGATGAATCGTGGGCTTTTGTTTTGCACGTGTTAGGATGTTTATTTTATCTCTGAATTTTTTTTTTTTTGTCATGTCTAAGAGTGAAATCCAACCCCTTTTTCAAACGTGTCATTTTCACTACCAACCTAATCTGTACATTTACTGCGTACAAGGTTTAGTTTTATTCTCTGTACGCTTACTTTTTTTTTTTGGCATGAAAAAAGTAATTTGTTTCCATGTCTGATTGCCACTTACACTTTTCATCCCTGTGAGCAATAATTTACTGCAGAACTAGTTTGATGTCTGCTGTGATTTTATCAGAAAATAAACATTGGGATACGGCGTGGTAATTTCAAGCCTTTTGATAAGTGGGGGGAAAAACTTTACAGAGTCATACAAATGTTCATTATTGTTTGTGACTTAAATTGGAGGTACCTTTGTGACTTGCAGGCTCGTGTGTTGGGTTTAGCGAGGCTTACTTTTAGGCGAACAACTGCAAAAAAATCCTTATCACTGTTTGTATCCCATAATATCACCTCTGTTTTATACAGTCCTATCAGGAGGTTCATTTTATTTAGAAATAAACACCTGAGTGTTTTTGTTTTTTTTTTTTTTCATTTGAAAATGGCATAAAAATAGTAACGTTATACGAGTGTAATAAACCTAGGGAGCAGGGCATTACAAGTGCACCCAGAACAACCCGTTGCCAGGTTGGTAAGGACTAAGCAATGAGTGAAACAGATGATTTCTATTAAATATATATGTACATATATATGTATATATATATGTACATATATATTTCATTTTTTAAAACAATTCCTACTGTTTAATTTCCTATGAGACGTTTTTCCCAAAGTAGGCTTTTTTTTTTGCAATATATATATTTCTGTGGATTACATATATTTGTATATGTTAATTTAAACAACGTTTACCGTTGTTTGTAGCTCAGTTTTGTCATGAGATTCAACGCCAAAAATCACTAAAAAAAATCACTTAAAATAAACGTGAATTCCGATGTTGAAATGCCAATGTTTGGATTCCATTCTCACAGTCTCCTTAGCTCGCCACCTCCGTAAAGTTTCACTTTAGAGATTCGTTTTGGAACCTCTTTAAATCAGTCTAAAAACTTGAGGTGAAGTCATTAGAGATTCAATTTAAAGCCTTCTTATTTCGGGGGGAGCGGTGGGGGCGGTGGGTATTGGATGTATCGACAGCGGCTCAACTCTGCATTGAGCCGAGCGCCGCTCCGTTGTTATTCCCATCTTTCATTGCCCTCCGTAGCCTTTAATTAAAGACTGAATGCAGGTGAGGCCTCTGCTTCTCTCGCACTATGTCAGGCTAATGGGTCCGAGGACGGGTCGCTGGAATCCTGCCCAAACGCTGCCAAGTGTGAATGCCATAAACGCTAAGTAAAAACAGACTAAATCAATGAAGAGGCTTGATTATATGAAAATGTAATTAATTGAATCTGGCCGAGGCAGACAGCCTGTCCTTGCTTTTACCTGGGGCGGTAAGACGAAGATGTTTATTCACTCCTCCAACCCTGCTGCTGGTCCGAAGATGGATTCTGTTGTTATTTATCGGGTTTCATCATGAGAACCAGACTCAAAAAGAGAGCTTTTTATAGCTGGAGAATGGTCTTTTTTCAGCGACTAAGATGGCAGTCTTCCGTAATGACCTACTTGGATCTTGCCAGACGAGTCTTTCACAACTGTCGGCTGTTTGCTTTCCAAACAACAGAACATCAGCCTTTTTTTTTCTTTAAAATGCACACAGAAGATTGAGCCTTTTTTTCTTTAAAATGCACACAGAAGAAGAAGAAGAAGAAGAAGAAGAGTGTTTATATCACTTTTACAACGTTTGAAGTGTGACTTGCCGACCGTACAGTCTCCTAATTGGTTTACGAGATGAGTTTTACACCGACAACTGCCGTCTGACTGCCTGCGATGCTCCGAGGCCCAGGAGGTTCATATAGGTGTCAGCACCATGAAGGCTTCATCCACTCTGATGCAACCCACAAACGTAGCCCTGCAACGCTGAGGGCCACTGGGACGACCGCAACGCTGTGTTAGCGATGCTGCGCGTCACAGGCTTCAGTGCAACTGTCCGTCAGAGTGATGTCAGCAGTGGTACTGCAGTGTGTACTGTACTGTAAGTACTGTATGACTGTATGTGATTTTCAGCAGTGATCCAATCGGTACAGGGGACACCGTGTATGTGTTTATATACACATATATATATATACATATATGTATATGTGTGTGTGTTTATATATAGACATATATACATATAT